CCGCCCCGCTGTCCCCCCCACGGCCCGCCCCACCACCCGCCCCACTGCCTGCTGTTCACCCCACTGCCCGCCCCACTGCCCACCTCACTGCCTGCTGTTCACCCCACTGCCCACCCCACTGCCTGCTGTTCACCCCACTGCCCACCCACTGCCCACCCACTGCCCGCCCTGCCCAAGGAGAGAGGCGGGAGCAGAGCCGTCCTCTCTCCGTCCCTGGGAGGCTTGGGCCCTGCTTTGGGAGAAGCAGCCCACAGTGGCGGTGAATGCCCCCGACTCCTAAGGAAACAGAGAAGCAACTGCCCCCTCCCCCAGCACTAGGCCAGGAGCAGATATGCTCTCCTCCCTCCCCCACGGGCACCCTTCTGCAGCACCTGCTCCCTGCAATGCTCACTGATTCCCTGGACACAGACGGCTGGGGCTGAGGGCAACAGGCGCATCACCACGCATCGTGGGTTAGGGACTTGGCGGTCGCCCTGCAGAGGCCCCAGCTGGGGAGGGGCGGCCTGTGCCTCCGTGGGGTCAGGGCAGTGGTTCTCAGCCTTGGCTGCACATGAGAATCACCTGGGAATCTTTAAAATCCTGATTTCTGGGCCTCATCCTCCGGAAACTCTGTTTCTTTGTGATGGGGTGAGGCCACAACATTAGTAACACTGGGTTAGGGTTCGAGCCCTCTCCGGGGGCGGAAATAGAGGGAAACCTGAAATAAGGAGCCAAGACTCAAGGCGGAGAAACAAGCGAGGGCGTGGGGGAGGCTGGGAGCTGAGTCAGTCCGGAGAGAACAGACTTCGGGAAGGCCAGCCTTCCATACGCGACCCAAGCTGCAAGCTCACCGCCCCCAAACCCGTGGCTTCGGAGCCAGGCGCTATGACCTCAGGAGCGCTGGCTTATGTGAGACATCGTGGGGCGATGGTTCCCTCCCACTCAGCCTGCTTCTCCGTCTCGGGTCTGCCCAGACAGTTTGCCAGAAGGTGCTGAAGGGACCGGAGGAGTTGGAAAAGGACTCGGGCTGGGAGTGGTGGTGAAGTTCCGGAGCAGCAGGGGCTCAGGGGCCAGACCCGTTCCAGCTCAGCATAATGCCCCCCTTCCCACACCCCTCCCTTTCCAGCAGATCAGCCCCTCCCCACCTTCAGCTCTGTTCTTTCAGATATTTTCCAACTTCCTGCCCTGCACTTCCTGTCACCACGCCCCCCATCCGGGCCTCCTGGGACAGCTCCAGGCAGAGCCACCTGCTCTTGTGTGGAGGCTGAGCAGGGATGTGCTCACAGCTCCATCCAGGATCAGGGCCACACACAGGCCGCCTCTGGAAGCAAACCCTGGGCTCCCCGACTTCCTGCATTCTACTCTCAGGCAGTGCCTGAGCCATAAGCACCTGTGAGCATTTAACTGACCCAGGTGAGGCCCTTTAGGGAGCCCAGAAGCCAGGGAGCACCAACCCTCCTGCAGGGAGCTTTCAACCTCGGGTCTGGAGCTGCCTTCGAGCCACACACAGGTGCCCACAGGCAGGACGAGGCCCCAGGCAGCAGAGCCACACACAGGTGCCCACGGGCAGGCCGAGGCCCCGAGCAGCAGCGTCCTGGATGGAAAGGGCCACTGTAAACCAGTCCTGTCACTTACTGGCGAGTCACTCAAACGTGCCAAACCCCAGCTTCCTCATGATAAAGTGGGGACAAGTTGTAAGAAACAAGTGAGCTGTAAAATCCCCTCACACGTCAAGTGCGAGCACATGGCAGCTGTGCTACGGTTGCCACGGTGCTGACAATGCGTAACCGCGGCAGTAAGTCCGGGTGCTCCTCGGGACGTGGTGTCCCCAGGGGGGCCGAGGCTGGAGGAACCCACTGCCCCACTGCCCACCCCACTGAGGTCAGATGAGGCCTCATCCAGAGCGTGGTCCGACCTCGCCTGCATGTGCTGTGCGGCCATAGGTGAGACGTGAGCTTCCCAGCACCCCTATGGGATGGGCATTATTTCTTTTTCTTTAATATATTTTTATTGATTTCAGAGAGGAAGAGAGAGGTAGAGACATCAATGAGAGAGAGGCACGCCCCACACTGGGTATCGAGCCCACAACCCTCAGGTCTTTAACTGAGGAAGAGTGTGGACGAGCCCCAGGTTTTAACTGTGGAGGAGAGTAGGGCACTAATGACAGGAAGGAGGTGGGAGGAATGAGAAGTAGTGTCAGGGAGGCCTGTGAGAGCCTGTGGGCATCTGGGCAGAAACTAGGAAGGTGTGTGCTGGGCGGCAGCAGTGAGGATGAGGGGAGTGGAGGCCGACCTTAGAGAAGCACGCCAGAGGACTCCCATGCCGCAGTGGTGGACCAGATAACCCAACCCACGCTCCCCCTTGCTGCGCACACTGTGAGGTCTGGGTAGAATAGTGTGTAAAACACCTGCTCGGAGGCGTCACGTGGCTGGCAGGAG